AGCAGTAGAGGCTCTCTGTTCACCGGTTTTTATAAGACCGGTGTTGTGGTGAGGTAGTCTATCAGGTTCTGCAGCGCTTCCCCGCATTCCGTTGTCCATTCAAACGGTCCAAATTTCGGCATTTATAGGAAGAAGGGGTGCGCTTTATCGGATAGCTGGGAGATGAATCGGCTGAGAGCGATGATTCAGCCGGCTAGGCGTTGTACCTCTTTGACATTCGTTGGTGGCTCGAGCTCTTAGATGGAGCAGATCTGATCCGGGTTTGCCTTGATGCCTCGTCTAGTTACTATGTAGCCCAAGAACTTCCCGGAGGCCACTCTGAACGTGCATTTGGCCGGGTTGAGTTTCATGTCATACTCGTGGAGTGTCTTGAAGCAGTTGTTTAGGTATTCCAGATGCAGGTCTCGGCTGAAAGACTTGACAACCATATCGTCGACATAGACCTCTATTGTCTTCCTAATTTCCTCAGCGAACATTTTGCTCATGAGGCGTTGGTATGCCGCCCATGCGTTTTTGAGTCCGAACGGCATCATTATATAGCAATATATACCTTGAGAAGTTACGAACGCCGTTTCTTCCTCGTCTGGCGGGTGCATTCGGATTTAATTGTATCCAGAGAATGTGTCCATGAAGCTGAGTAGCTCGTGCCCGGCGATGGCATCCACGAGTTTGTCGATGTGCGGGAGTGGGAAGGAGTCCTTGGAACAGGCCTTGTTGAGGTCCGAGTAGTCGATGCAGATCCGCCATTTCCTGTTTTTCTTTTTGACGACAATGGCTTTGGTAAGCCACTCCCGGTATTGAACTTCCTGCACAAATCCTGCTTGGAGCAGCCTCTGGACCTCTTCGCTGATGACCGCGTCGCGTTCGTCCACGAACTTCCGACGTTTCTGCTTGACAGGGACGTATTCCGGGTGGACGTCGAGGTGATGGGAAATGGTTTCGGCGTTTATTCCTGGCATGTCGTCGTGTGTCCAGACGAAGCAATCCAAGTTCACCCGGAGCAGTGAGATGACGGCTGCGTGCAGTGATGGATCCAGTCTGTTCCCAATTCTCAGCTTCCAGTCCGGGTTGTCGGCTGAGGCGAGGATTTCTTCGACCTCATCCTCCACTGCCGGGGTAGTTGGAGACTCGTCGCCACACTGTAATTGCTACAGGATGGTGTGGGAGGGTGGTTCTTCTGTAGGGGCATTGCTGACTTCATTTCCCTTGATCTCCACCATGCCACCTGCCGTGAGGAACCACATGGATTGGTGGTACGTCGAGGGGATGGTAGCCATCGCGTTAATCCAGGGTGTTCCCATGATAGCATTATGCGTTGAAGGTGTCCTGGAGACCAGGAAGGTCGTGTCCTTGGTTACTGGCCAGGTAGTTACCGGGAGGGTTATTTCCCCTAGGGACCTCGTGGCCTCACCATTGAACCCCACCATGGTGACGTACCGGGGAGCGAGGTCCGAGATCCGTATTCCCATTTGGTGTACGGTGTCTGCGAAGAGTACGTTTCTAGTGCTTCCGGTGTCGACTAGCAGTCGCTTGACTTGGAATCTTTAGACTCCTAGCAAGATTACAAGCGGCTTGTCGTGGACCGAGGTTGCTAAGATTGCAGTAGGGGTTGGTAAGCATATTTCCCGTCTGGCCACCTCCTCTGTGGGGGCTCTTTCTTCAGGTCGAGTCTGCCCCTGAGTGCCTGGGTTGAGGTCTAGGAGGTTTGCGGCTGGCTGAGGGGGTAGATCCGTGACTGCATTGATCATTTTGCGAGTCTCTGGGGCCTTTTCTGCGGCTCCGCCTTTCTTTTTTTCGAACAGACGTGCCTGTGCTTTTTCGGAGAGCAGGTGGGTTAGTAGCCCTTTATGAGCTCCAAGATTTCTTTCTTTAGGGCGTAGCATTCTTTGGTAGCATGCCCCTTGTCCTTGCGGAACTCGCAGTAGTCGAGTTGTTCCCGCGAGCGATCTTCCGAGAACCTCTTCCTGGGTGGTGGACATTTGACGATGGGCCCGATGGTTTTCAAGGCCTCGATCATTACCATTGGTGTGGCATCATTTTCGAGTTCGTCAAATGCCATGTCAATCTGGGCCGTGCCGCCCGACGATGGGTTGGAGGACTTCCACCTGCCCCTAGAGACTTGTAGGCTTGGGGACCCAAAGTACCCGCCCAATGTCCTAGCGACATTTCTGCCTCTTTTGTTCGAGTGTCCTCCCGGTCCCTTCGTTGTCCCTGGGGGCGCGGTGTCGCGGAAAGGATGTGGTCCGGGTCGCTCTCCCATTGGATCTGCCAGTGTGCGTAGTTCAAGACATCTTCTATGGTGGAGCACTCGTTCTTGGTCAAGTCTTCGTAGAGCCCAGAGCCCTTCAGGAGTCCCTTCCTAAAGCCGTGGACCGCCGTGATCTCGTGACAGCCGGGTATTTCTACCCTGGCGGTGTTGAAGCGAGTCACGTAGGATCGGAGTGTTTCTTTCGTCTCTTGGCTTACGTCGAACAAGTGACCCATGCCCCAGGCCGGTTTCTGACTGCTGACGAACTGCTGGACGAACAGGTTGTGCAGCTGCGCGAAAGAGTCTATCGTCTTATTGGGGATGCTGATCAGCCACTGCAAGGCGGCCACCAAGAGTGTCGCGCCAAACTGCTTGCACAAGCACGCTTCCCTGATGTTCGCCGGCGGCGATGCCGAGAACATTTTCTGTTTGTACTGAGCAATGTGATCCTCGCGATCGGTGGTTCCTTCGTAAGGTTTCATCGTCGGGTAAACGAATTTCTTGGGTACTTCGATGTTGGCGATGCCCTCCGAGAAGGGGAGTCATTGTACGACTCCTTCGTTGCTTGGGTTACCCGCGGGGGTAGCCCTAGGGATCATTGACAGTCAGGTGTCTATATTCGCCATGTGCTCCGAGCGATGAGGCGGTCTAGATCCATCTGCTTCGACGCTCGATTTGTGGCGTCATCCGAGGCTCGGCGGCCTCCGGCTTCGTCCAGGTGGGCAGAATGATCTGTGTTTGCAGTTCTGTGAGCGGCTAGTATTTCAGTGTCGTCCACCAGGGGGAACCTCGCAAACGGTCCTCTGCATTCTGGGCCGGGGCGGAGCGGTATGTTCCAGCCCACCGAGATCGTTGGACCGTCGGTGTCCAGGGGCCTTGTAGTGGCGTGGCCTGGAGGCGTGCTTGCACGCCTAGCCTGTTGCTCCAACTGGTGGTTCCGCTCCGTGAGCCGTTCGAGGTCAGCTCGGAGGCGGCAAACGTCCTCGTAGTCGAGCATTTGGCGGAACGTCGGGGCTGGAGGGGCCATCGGGGGATGCTGACTGGTACTACCCCATGTGTAGTCCCCTCGGATGCCTTGTTCTGGTGGGCTCGGAGAATCACTTCCTTCGTTCGTTATTAGGCTTGTTCTTCCCCCCTCCTTCTAGCGCCAACTGTTCGGGAGCAAATTTCGGGATGCCACGTGGAGGGATCTGATTCGTCGTCGTATTATGCCAGGGAGGTTCGAACTCTGGGGGGATGGGATAGCCTGCAACGTCAAGGGAGAAGAAAGAGAACTCGGGTAATAGGAAAGGGGTTGCCTTCCCGATTACGCTCCGACAAAGCGTATTTGTCTACCGGAAGGACTGAGTATTGGTCGCTCTATCGGTTCGTAAGGATCCCGATAAAGCTTTTAGGATAGTGATATGTCGTTGAAAGTGAAGCTAGAAGATGAAGTTATCGTTCTCGATGTCTTCTCCTCCCTCTGTTGACAGGATTGGGTTTTATAAGAAATACCTGGTTCCGGGTCGCTCCCGGGTTCGGACCTCCAGGCTTTCCGGGTCGGGTAGTAACTTTCATCCTTTTCCATCATTATCACCATTCTCGGACTCCTCCATGCGTGTAGTAAGAGGGAATGGGTCGCCGACCTGCCCCGCCTTCTCATAACCGCCATCATTGCGGTCCATTTCGGTAGGTGCGGCGCATTTAATGCACATCGGGTTCCCACAGCGTCTGTTGCCCATGCGTTGGGCCTTTGTGGGTCGTGCGTATATTTTGCGGTCCAATAATAGTCACTACTTATATCTGAACCAACATTAATAACATATGAGTAACACATTCTAAAATTCTATTTAAATAATAAAGTATGAGAGAGTTATGAATTAAACTCAAATTAGTATTTGTAGATAAAATATTCAAATCAAAGCATACAGATTGCACACAAAAGATAAAAATAGTGAAAAATAATGCGAAGACTCCACAACGCCGATCCTACAAGTATAAAAACTAAAATTATCAAATATTAGACTACAAAAAAATAGATCTCAATGAAAACTGAATAAAAGTATAAGCTAAAACTCATGGATGACCTGATGAAAAAGGAAGAAATGCTTTGCATGATCATTGCAACTTTCTAACAAAACTAAATGCGAATCAACATGAACCATAGATTATAAATGCATATGTATACAACATCATATTCAATAAAAAAACTAAATATTTAAACAAGAACTGTAGAAATCCTATGAAAACCAAAACAAAATACCATATTTCTCTAAATCAAACGTATGTGTATGTCAAAGTTTGATAATTTGATAGGTGTTATTGTTATTATTTCACATAATAAAATTTAAAACTTTATAAATAAAAATAGAAGAAAAGTACATATTATAGTTTAATTTCTCTTATATAAAAGATTTTTTTATAAATCTATTATAGTTTTGATAATTTACAAGATAATATCTTAAAAAAATTAAACTAAACTATTAATACATATTTGCGCATAGCGCGAGTTATAAACCTAGTAAGTTAAAAAAATAAATGAAAAATTAAATGAATAGAAATATTCAATTAAAAATCATAAATATTTATAATAGTATATAAGTATAAGAAAAATTTATTCAATAATTAATACATTACAATTATCATTAGAAAATTAATTTTATAAAAATTTCTATTATGAAAAAATAAGAATTATATTTCAAATTAAAAATATATAAAATAATTAAATTTAATAATAGTATAAAATAAATAAATTTTTCGTAATGGGCTAGGCTAATAAAATCATATTTGGGCTTAAATAAGGCCCAAGATATATTTTCATCTTGAATTTACTTCTCTCTCTTCCTTCACTCCGTCTCTTCCCAAGGAATTCGAAGCTGGAGTAGCCAACCGTGCTTCCAATCGAAGTTTTCACGGAGTGTTTGAGTTGAGGAAGAGAGTAGAGAACCAATGGAGGAAGAATCTCAGAACGGAAACGCGATTCCGACTAATGAGTTGACTGTGGCTGCGGCGGCGGCGGCGCCTGAAGTAGACGAGGGAGAGCCGATGGTCGGACCTGGACTTGCTCCACGCGGCAAACGCAAGCGTCCGCTTCAGTTCGAGCAAGCTTATCTCGATTCGCTTCCTTCTGCTAATATGTAAGTATGCTTTCTGTGTTGGAACTTTCTTTGCCCTTCTTCAATGTTACGGGTTTAGGGTTTTAGTTGCTCTTGATTTAGTTTGAGCGAAATCTTCGAAGAAATTGTATCTCTTGGAATCAAGCTTGTAAACGAGTATACATTGAGCTCATTGGTTCTGAATTTTGGAAATCCATGGGATTTGTAAGCTCGTCATTGGTCAATTGATTTTGAAAAGTGCTTCCACTTGAACTTTTGGACAGTTCTTGAGCTTTTGTTGCCGAGTCCTAGTTCATACATTGGTCCTCATTATTTCTTCTACTTGAGCTTGTAAGCTTTTCGTCGGATGGTCTTGAAAGTGCTTTGCAGCTTACTCTTGTATCTTTTGCTTTCCTCAGGTATGAGAAAAGTTACATGCACAGGGATGTAGTTACACATGTTGCTGTTTCAGCAGCTGATTTCTTTATAAGTGGAAGCATGGATGGTAATGATTCAGACGTTTGTATATTTTTTTCATATTTCTAATTTCATTCTGGTTTTGTAATGTCAAAGAACAAAGTTGTAGTCTCTTTGCCTCAGAAACTATCGGATTCTTGTGAAAATTATGTATCCGCCGATTCGTTCTTACATATATATCCTTTTATAATCTAGGTCACTTGAAATTTTGGAAGAAAAAGGGTGTCGGGATTGAGTTTGCTAAGCATTTCCGCTCCCATCTCGGTCCAATTGAAGGTCTAGCGGTGAGTGTCGCCAGTGTTTTTTCTAATGTTAATTCTATTTTCTCGGTTTAAGATACTGTCACCTCAAATGGATCTTTTAAGTCCATGCACATGCTCAATTTTTGAAAGTTAGTATAGTTGATTCTGCGGAAATTTATTTTAGTTTCTGGTTCTGTTATCAACCATGACTCGTTTCAGCAATGCAGGTTAGCATTGATGGTTTGCTTTGCTGTACAATCTCAAATGATGATGCTGTTAAAATATATGATGTTGTCAACTACGACATGATGGCCATGATCCGTTTGCCGTACATTCCTGGTGCTGTCGAGTGGGTCTACAAACAAGGGGATGTCAAGGCTAAACTTGCTGTTAGTGAAAAAAACTCTTCGTTTGTGCACATTTATGATCCCCGTTCTGGTTCTAATGAACCCATTGCTTCGAAAGAGGTTTGTTTCATTATGTTATTGCTATTTCTTGACTCCTCATTTTTGCCAGAGCTACAGGGTTCTTATATCTTTGTCGTTAAAATATGTTCAGATTCATTCGGGTCCAATTAAGGTCATGAAGTACAATCCTGTATCTGACACAATGATCTCTGGTGACACAAAGGGAATCATTGAGTACTGGAGTCCATCTACGCTGCAGTTTCCTGAGGATGAGTATGTCCTTGTCTGATTTTTTATTTTAGTTGTTGATTCCTGAGGCTTTGTTGTTTATTCTCTATTAGTTAGTCTTTTCTTAAACAGAGAAGCGTACCCATTACTGTGTGTGGTTAATATAGTTAGATTTCATATTGATGAGAATGAGTGAGTGACATGAAGAGGACGCTGTAGTTACACTTTTGTTGCCAAAAAAATTTCAAATGTGTTTTGATTTGACCATCCTTAGATTTTGAGTTTGGTTGATGGACTGCTTCCATTTATGCTTCACAGGTTGACATTTTGCTTGGTGTTGCAGGGTAAACTTTAAGCTGAAGAGTGATACAAATCTCTTCGAGATTATAAAGTGCAAAACAACAATCTCTGCCATTGAGGTACTATTTAGTATCTTTGTTTTGGCTGTTTTCCGTACGATGTTTATGCTTAGAATGGAGTTATTAGCAATGATATGTCCAGCGAAAACCATAGTGCACGTTTTGGTGTCTAAATTTAGTGATTCTTTTCAGGTGAGTCCAGATGGTAAACAGTTTTCTGTTACGTCTCCTGATCGTAAGATTCGCGTTTTCTGGTTTAGAACTGGTAAACTGAGGCGGGTATATGACGAGTCACTTGAGGTAAGGTTACATATATTAGTCTCATTTCCTTGCATGTTTTCCACATTACTCTTGATTAATCATCTCTTCTACTGAAATTATTAGGTGGCCCAAGGTCTGCAGAAGAGCGACGCTCCATTGTATAGGCTTGAAGCAATTGATTTTGGTAGAAGAATGGCAGTTGAAAAGGAACTTGAAAAAACTGAGAGCGCTGCGCAGCCCAATGCAGTTTTCGACGAAAGCTCTAATTTCCTTATATATGCCACTCTCCTTGGAATAAAAGTAAGAATTCCACTCTTGCATTTGATTTTCATTACCGTGAACTTGCATATCAGTCTAGACATGATAAGTATCCTGACATGATAAATCAACAAGAATAAAAACTAAAGCCGTTCACTGCTGGCTACTTTTAACTCAAGTAACCAAGATTTATTGTGATTACTTTTTTTGTAACTATACTTTAAAAGTTGTGCAGAGATTTTCTCGGAAGCTTGGGTGTCTAAGGGAGAATGGGAGTAAATTAGTTTTTAGAATCCCCAATCTCTTAGTATCTTTAGCAGATCACTATATAAAAACGGACCAGATTTATAGTTTGAACAGATCAGAACTCTTTCATGCTTACTAAATGGAATCAAAATAAGCAACTCACTGATGTCTATGTCTACCCTTGTTTCCTAGATAATAAATTTACACACCAACACCGTTGCAAGGATCCTTGGAAAGGTGGAGAGTAACGAAAGGTATCTGAGAGTTGCATTATATCAAGGTGATCAAGGAGGCAAGAGAGTTAGGAAGATTCCGGCAGCTGCAGCTAATGTAAATGAAAGCAAGGAGCCTTTAACTGATCCGACTATCTTATGCTGCGCCTTCAAGAGACACAGGATCTATATGTTCAGGTACTTTACTCATATCGTACCAAAACGACTTCATGTTTATGCTGTGATACAAATAAATCTGTTTTTGCATCTCTAGGTTCTATTTAAATGACATTCTCTTGCGTTTTCTCTACATATCCCTCGATGTTGCCGAATATCTTTGAATTTTACTCTGAAGAAAATTGGTTTCTGCAGTCGGAGAGAGCCAGAAGAACCTGAAGATGCAAGCCAAGGAAGGGACGTGTTCAACGAGAAGCCTGCTGCTGATGAACTTATGGCTGTCTCAGATATTGGAAACTCAGCCACAACATCTCTTCCAGAGACCGTGGTATGTTCTTCGTGACCATCACGTTTGCAACTATGTTACTTATCATTTCATGTCCTCTGATTTTCGATCCTTAATACAAACTCTCTCTTATCTCCCTTCTTAAAACTTATAAAGATCATGCATACTACGATGGGTGACATGCACATAAAGCTATACCCAGAAGAATGTCCCAGAACCGTGGAGAACTTCACAACACACTGTCGAAACGGCTACTACGATAACCACCTTTTCCACCGGGTTATCAGAGGGTTCATGATACAGACCGGAGACCCTCTTGGTGATGGTACTGGAGGACAGTCAATTTGGGGCAGAGAGTTCGAGGACGAGTTTCACAAAAGGTAAATAATAATTTCTTACTGCTTCTTAGTTTGTGAATTGAATGTAATTAGTTTGTGATATGATCTTGTTCTTCTTCTTCGTTGCTTGCAGTCTACGGCATGACAGACCGTTCACAGTGTCGATGGCAAACGCTGGTCAAAACACAAACGGGTCGCAGTTCTTTATCACAACGGTGGCTACACCATGGCTAGACAATAAACATACAGTTTTTGGAAGAGTTGTGAAGGGCATGGACGTCGTACAGGTATGATTAAAAACATAGAAAGAAAGTCTTTTGGTTTATTCGGCTTTAGTGTCACTTTTGTGTCTAAATTGTAAAAAAAAATCCAAATGAAACAGGGTATAGAGAAAGTGAAGACAGACAAGAACGATAGGCCTTACCAAGATGTTAAGATACTTAATGTCACTGTTCCTAAATCTTAAGCATATTTGCTCTCGTCTCAAAAGGTAATGAACAGACCCTGTGATCGTGATGGGTTTGGCTATATCCTCAGAAGGTGAAGCATATAATCGGAGCTGAGAGACTTGTGACGGATCTGAATTTTGGACGTATATCTGAGATGGATCATCGAACTGTTCAATGTGATTGTGCCAGAGTTAGTGGTATCATGATCATCTACTTGCTATTTAACATTATTTTGAATTTTTTTGCTAAACAACTTGGTGGAAGTACTTAGTGAAGAAGACTTCAACTTTTACTTTAAACTCAGTTTCCTTTTCCTGTAATCGTGACCTACTTATTATCAAGTTTCAATGACTTATTATCAAGTTTCATTGACTTGTTGTCTGATTTAAAACCAACTAGTGAAGACTCTATAGTCTCATCTTTTTGTTATGTATTACAGATAGTTGTAAATACTGATTCTAGGTTGAATTAGAAGCTCTAATACGCATATCTCAAATTTACTTTGGTCTTAATTTAGTTAATTGTGAAGTCTGATACAATTCATTTCTATAACAGTCTTTAAGATTTGAATGAGTTACGTAAATAACAGGATCGTTCCTGATTCATTTACTAAGTCATACAGGCGACGCAGAGTTAAACCATTCGTAAGTTGGTAGAGAAACGCAAATGAAACCAAAATGAAAAGACCAAGAAGATAGAAAAAAACTCTTCGCGTTTCATATTTAAGGAGTAAAAATTATGATCCAAAAATCTTTGATAACAAACGAACTGCAAGAGAGCAAAAGATCCAGTAAAAATCTTCCGCGGTGAAAACCCTACTCGAAGAGACTGAATCCCATGTCCTGCATCAAAGTTGAATGATGTAACAAAACAGAGTCAGATAAAAGACCAAAATCAAAAACAAATTCAGAATCATTAACAACAAAGAGTAAGAAGGAAAATGCTTACATCATCGGACTCTTCTTTCTCTTCCTTCTTGGCTTCTTTCTTCTCTTCAGCAGCAGGAGCAGAGGCGGCACCACCGCTTGATGGAGAAGCTGCAACAGCCACACCACCACCTGATGGCACAGAGGCCAACTTCTCCCTACCTGCTGCAATCAGCTCGGTGATGTCTTTACCACTCACTTCTTTCAGAAGTAGCTCAATGCTGTCTCCTTCAACATCAGCACCAACTACAACAAACAAACAAACACTCAACAGCATCAATACACAATCAATTAATATTTCACCAAACCAGTAGATTCACAAATGAATAAATAAGAAGCAAGTAAATTCTTGAGACGGAACAAAAGTCTTTTATCTCTTCTCTAGATGAGATAGAACAACATCACAGCTTGGGAGATAATCTTTTACCTCCAGCTCAAGAAATCAAAATAAACTCATCCTGCTAATATAAAGCAAATGCAAAACAAAAAAAACAAAAACTTTTTAATTGCATTGATTAAGATATATCACTATGGAACAACACAAAAACCAACAGAAACAATTCACAAATCAATTCATGTTCATCGCAACACCAAATCCTTAAATCATCTATGCAGAAACAAGACTGGAACTTTAAGGTAAGACCCAAGAAAATGCCTCTAATACATAGCAAAACACTTGCCAAGATCACTTAAATACTTGAACTTTGATAAGCACTTCAAGAAAATCTTCACAAAAACCTCCTGGAATAGACTTAACACAAAAAACAAAGCAAATGCAAAATCAAATCAAGAGTGTATGGCGACTAATCGTATCAAATTTGACTAATCGTATCTAATCTGCGTTCCCAGTAACACATAATAGTTTCAAACTTGACAAAATGGAAGAAAGACAAAATTTACCCGCTCCGATGATATCTTTGATATTATCAGCAGAAGGATTAGCGTTTCCGCCGAGAACGGCGAGGAGGAAAGCAGCGACAACCTTCATTTTCTGATTTGATACAAAGCCCAAAAAAAAAAATGTATAGTCAGATTAGCGGAAATGGAATAAAATGCAAGAGTGAAATCTAGAGACATTGAAAGAAGAGTACCGATAAGATTAGGGGAGCAGGAAGCTACAAGATAATGGCTTCGAAGTGTTTGAAGACGCGACAGTTGAGGAAGAAGAGGATGAGTTATATATAGTTAGGGTTTCTGTTGAATTGGGTCTTGATTGGGCCTGTAGTATTGAAGAAGAAGATTGAAGAAGAAGAAGAAGATCCAAGCCCGATTAGTGTAGACAGCTACAATAGATGCAAAACCCATGATGCGATGATGATAATACACAATGATAATCATTATGGTATGGTGATGATGATATGACGATTATTGTATACTGATGATGACGATGAATGTGGAGGTATATAATGATGATACGTATGAAACTATGAGAGCCCATCACGGGAAAGAGGTTTGAAATATAAGTCTTACTGTAAGAGATTTTACTAGGTGACTGGCCTGCACAGTCTGCAGGCTATACAACATTAGTATAATATTGAAAATGTTTTATTTGTATATAATTAATTATATATTAATAATAAAAAATTATAAATTTAAGATAAAATATTATAAATTTTAAAAGAAAATAAAGATAAAAAAGATTAACTAAGATTTTAACATATTTTTTTAGATAAAAAAATATAAATATAATAACTAAATAAACAGAAAAATATTAAAATCTATAATAATTTATTTAATTTTTATTTTTTGTCTGCACGCATGTACATGTATAACTTTTTTATAAACATAATTAGTTGTAATATTTAAGTATTGATTAATTTTTTTTTATACATTATGTAACTGTTATATTTTTATACATATACAGTTTTAGTGTTCAACAACAACCACACAAACGTTTCTTAACGTTTTGTGTCTTTTGAAATTTTTTATTTTTCTTAGCGTTTACAAAAATATATAATTTCAAATATTAAAGTTATATTAAATTATAATTAAATTCTTATGATATGTTTTGAATATTATCTATGCTATACTTTCTTTTTTCTCCTTACACAATATAATCTTACCAATATATATATTTTAAGTATTTTTTTCTTGACATATTGCTAATTAAACCAAAATAAATTTTACCATATTTACTTATTCTAAGAGCGGGTAGATTGTTGGCCCGCACATTCGTGTGTACCAACCACCTCACCGTTCTTAGGACATATAATTTTTTTTAAAAAAATTGGCTAACAATTGAAATTAAAATTATAGTGTAATTGAGGTTAACAAAATGTACGCACGACAAATTTGTATGCGAGTTTGACTTTTGCACAATTAATATTTATATCTACACGCACATTTGTAAGAAAATCAAAGTATGGCTTTTATGTGTTAAAAAAAAGAAAGTATATGTTTTGTAATATATATTTTTCTAACATATGGTTGATATTTTTTTAAAATAATAATAAGTATATTTATGCATATAGGTATGAGTTAGAAATATGTGAATTGTAATATTTAGATGTTGGTAAGTTTTTCTGATATTTTCCACAAACATTATGTTTTTACACAATGCAGTTATTACCGTTTAACAACAATCACAGAAACCATTTATATCGTTTTCTACGGATTAACTCAATGTGATAGAAACCATGATAAAAGGAAAATAGTACAACAATAGCAAACTCCCCATGGAAAAGATAGATTTCATTCTTTTTCCACAAATTTCTTAGATACCGTATTCCACTACTATGAACATGTTTTTTTAATGTTGTAATAGAAAGTGTTTTTGTGAAGTGATCAGCTGTGTTGTCACTTGAACGAACATACTGAATATTCACTACTTTATTCTTCTCGATCTCTTGAGTATAGGAGAAAAATATTGGAGGGATATGTTTCGTTCTATCGATCTTGATATAACATTCTTTAATTTGAGCAATACAAACATCATTATGTTCAAATACTTTTGTTAGTTCTTTTTCCGTGAGTATTCTGCTTGCTTCTTGTATGTGATGAGCTATAGATCTGAACCATACACATTCTCTTCTTGCTTCATGAAACGCAATAATCTCTGCATAGTTTGAAGAAGTCGCGACCAAAGTTTGCTTTTGTGATCGCCAGAAGATTGCAGTTCCACCAATTGTGAAAAACATATCCAGTTTGCGACCGAGCTTTATGCGGATCAGACAGAAATCATGCATCTGCAAAACCAACTAGACCAACCTAGGCGTTTCTAGAATAATATAATCCAAAATCAAACAAACCTCGAAGATAACGAAATATATGCTTCATTCCATTCCAATGCCGGTCCGTCTGTGATGAACTATCCCTTGCAAGTAAGTTAGTAGCAAAAAATATATCTGGTTTACTACAATTTGCAAGATATATAAGGACACCGATAGCGCTCATATAAGGCACATCAGAACCTAATATTTCTTCATTACCTTCACAAGGTCGAAATGGATCCTTGTCAACATCAAGTGGTCTATTGACCATTGGAGTACTCAAAGATGCCGTTCTGGTATAATTTGATTGATGCACAAATATTCCATCTTGGAAATGCTCTATCTGGAGCTCTAGACAAAACTTTGTCTTTCCAAGATCTTTCATTTTAAACTCATCTTTCATATGAGCTCTAACATCATCAATCTCCTTTTGAGTTCAAATCATGTTCAGTTCATCAACATATACAGTAATGATCACAAATCATGATTCAGATATCTTAATAAACACACAAGGGCATATCGCATTGTTGATGTAACCTTTACTCAACAAATACTCACTTAAGCGATAATACCACATGTATCCGGATTGCTTTAATCCGTAAAGTGATCGTTGTAGTTTGACCAAACATAGCTTTTTAGATGCTTTAGGCATCTTTGATTCTTTAGGGATCTTAAATCCTTTAGGAATTTTCATGTATATATCCCTATCAAGTAAACCATATAAGGATGCATCACAACATCCATCAAGTACATCTCTAAATTCTTAGAGGCTGTTAGGCTCATTAAGTACCTGAATGTGATTGCATCCATGACCGGGTAATATGTTTCTTCATAATATATTCCCGGTCTTCTGAGAAAACCCTTGTGCCATAAGGCGAGCTTTATACCTTGTTACCTCATTTTTCTTATTTATCTTTCTTACAAAGACTCATTTGTATCCGACCAGTATTACATCTTCAGGTGTAATAATTATCGCTCCGAATACGTTCCGTTTATTAAGGGAAATACTTCATCCCTTATGGCCATTTGCTGTTTATCTCTGTCAAGCCTTCTTTGGCATTCTGACACGGAACTTGGATCTTGATCATTATTTTCCGTCATTATCTTCTATATTATTTCTAGCCCATAATTTTCTACTCTGGGCGAAGGAGATGAAAATCTCATATTTTTCCGAATCCATGGCACATTGAGGGGAGAGGAGCTTCTCGATTGGTTGGTTACCGTTGATGAATTGATGGATTTTAAAAAAGTTCTGGAAGACAGGCAAGTCGCGTTGATAGCAATCAAGTTTTGGGGTCACGCTGCAGCATGGTGGATGCATCTCAAAGCAACAAGGACTTGAATCGGGAAAGCAAAAATCAGCACGTGGGCTAAATTACAGAAATATCTCAAGCTCACTTTTCTACCGTTTAATTTTGATATACGATGTACACTCGCCTGCAAAATTTGCGACAGGGAGGGCGATCCGTCGATGACTATGCTGAAGATTTTTTCCTTCTTCTCACACGTAATAAATTCCATGACAGCAATGTTCAATTGGTCTCTTGTTTCATTAGGGGACTCAAACCACAAATTCAAAATGATATGTCCCATTCCGATCTAGCATCCGTTGCAGAGGCACATCACCATGATGTTTCCTTTGAGCTTCAATTCAAGTCGACTACATGTAGCTGGAACTCATCCGCTCGTGCATGTTTGCCTTCAACATCTTTCGACTCTGATCATGTTGTGACAATGAATACCAAAGCTCAAAAGGCTCTTAATTCACGTTCTCCAATACCTCTAAAATATTGCTCTCGTCGATGAGTTACGTCGCATATTGCGACCCAATGCGTTACGATGTTTTGCATATGGCGAACCGGGACATAGGCAAGCTTCTTGTCCTAATGCCACACGTCGTGGTCTTCTTACGGATGATGTTGTATGTGTTGTCGATGAAACCGAGGATCATGAGAAGTTTGTCAACGAGTTGGCGATCAATCTCGATGAGGGAGATACATGACCACTTTTGATGATGCGCCGTATTTGTTTGGCTCCAGCTCATCACAAAGAACAACCATGGCTTCGTACAAATATCTTTTCTTCCACATATACGATAAAAGAGAGGGTTTGTCGCTTTGTTATTGATTCTGGTAGTTGTCGTAACATGATTGCAGAGGATGCACTCACCAAACTTGGCTTACGAAAGTTGGATCATCCTGCTTCACACAAATTAGTATGGTTGAAAGAAGGTATAGAGATTTGTATTCTGCATCAAGTTCTTATGTCCTTTTTGATTGGTACTCACTACAACGACAAAATATATTGCGAAGTGGCCCCGATGGATGTATTCAATCTCCTCTTGGGACGGCCATGGCAGTATGATCATGATGTCTCTCATAATGGTCGCAGCAATGATTACAGCTTCGTCTTCGACAATCGGAGGAATGTGTTACTTTTGCCAAGAGACGCCACCACCACCACCAATGCTCGCTACGGTACTTGTGTCATAGGTTCGAAGACACATGATCTAGTGCTTCGGTTCTATTGTGCTCATATGTAGCTTTTGAAACAGAATTTCAAAAAGTCGGGTTCGCTCTAGCTCTTGTCTCTGCTCCCGCCTCTCCTATACCAGCCATTTCAGTACATCCCGTAATCGCATGCTTATTCACAGAGTTTGACGATGTGTTTCCACCTGAGTTACCAAAGGAGCTACTACCATTACGGGACATACAACACGACATTGATCTTGTCTCGGGAGCTGTCTTACCAAACCGTCCACATTACCGTATGAGCCCTC